AACCCTGCCAACTGAAGCTAATCTACCTGTAAGCCCTTTCGTCTGACGGCTCCAGGTCAGTGCCTGGCCCCCACGTACTCTATGCCAGCTAGGATTGGGTGTAGCAAAGAGTGTCCTATGTGGGAAGCGGCTCGGTGACATACGGAATACATGTCCGAGCCATCTTAGTTTGCTCAAGTTCACGAGCGTTCCTAAATCGGACTCTGGTCCTAGAATACGATCACGGACCGTGGAGTTTCGGATCCTCCGGTGCCAACCTATGCCCGCAATACCACGCAAGCAACGATGATCGAACACCTGAAGACGTTCGAGATCTTCGACTCGAAGGGTCCAGGTCTCACAGCAGTAGAGAAGAACGGCTCTTACTACCACGAGTACTGAAACCTGGTTTTTAGTGTTGTGAGCCATTGGATTTACTGCTGTGCCACCATTGGGGAAGCATTTTAAACTGCATTATAAATATAAAGCAGATTAATACTTTATGATAGAGAAGCATTTCAAAAAATCTATATTAACTTTTAAAAAGTCCTGCGTTAGGCTTGAAATGGGTGTATTATAAAATGAAGGCTGTGAGCTTTCTTATTTGTATCTTAAGCTGAAGACAGGAATCTTTGATTTACAAATATTGCCATTTTGATAAGAATCTCTTCAACTTTCATAAATAAACCACTGTCTTTCAAACAACAAGAACACACACATTACTCAGTTCCAGTAATTCACGTCTTATATCTCTCACATAAGAACACACATTAATTTTTGTTTTTAGTAATCAAAGTTTTTCCACGCAAAATGACAACATATTTTTTTTTAGTAACCAACACCTTCCATACAACTGTAGAATACATTAGCGTGTGTTTCAAGTAATCATCACATAAAAATAAATCATGTTAAATTATGCTTCTAGTAATTAATTTCATGAAAAGGAAAACATAAGTTAGCCTACTTTCGAGTAGTCCTTCATTCAAAGGAAAAACACATTAATCTATGCTTCCAGTAATCTTATCAATTCATAAACTAGCTACAATCATGATCTTACAACAAGATATGAAAGCAACACAAAAAAACAAAAACCTTGACATTTCTTCCAGGTCACTCTGAAGTTTCTCCCAAAAATCTTCATATTCTTTCTCGTCTTGTTTCCTTTCAGACTCCTCAAACTCTTGACCCCACTCATCTGAAGTAGCATGATCTCCATTTTGTTGTTGAGACTGTTTACATTAATGCAAAGTGAACTTTTAGTGTTCCTAAAGACAAAATCTAGTTTATAATTATAATTTTTAAAAAAATGATAAAATACTGTGTGCCATAAAATACACTTTTAGATTTCAGAATTTGGTTCAATAATGTCCTGTAGCTTAAGGTATGAAAATTCTATCTAAGTCGGTAGAATATTTATGCCTTCCAAGTTACAGTTACCATCTCTATACTTCTTTAACCCTCTCGCTAAGGGCTCAGTTGATATGACTGACTTTTTAACCACAAAGTAACCATCAATTTCCATGCTATAACTTTTAACATGTTTTGTGTATCTTCACAAAATTTAGCAAGCTTTCAGTAATCATTACAAATCTTTTGTACACAAAAAGGGAGGTTTTTTTTACTAAATATTTGTCAGTGAATATATGGAGTCAGTGTTGATGGCTCTGAGTGCAAAATGATTTTTCATGTTAAGATTAAAAATATTTTTCTTCATCTGAATCTTGTCAGATTATTTGAGTAATCTCTAAAATCTCCGGAAAAAAAAATGTAATATTTTTTTTCAGTGAAACTGTATATTTCATCTGTTATTTTATCTACCCTAAGTCTATACACAATCAATCAATCTGACTGACCTTTGAATAACCATAAAAAATACAAAATAAACTATATTACCCCTTTTTCTTTATAGAATGACTGCAAATTGTAACTGGATACTACAGTTGTTTATCCTAAATAGGTTAAAGCATGTAACAGTATACATGTGTTTATACTTAATTTTATTGCCTTTTTAACCATGTCTAACTAATAATCCTGTAACACAGGTTGTAAATCACTCGGTGAAAATGTAGCTCACATATTGAATGACATACAGCATGATCTGCTTGTGAACATACGCCATGAAAAAGGTTTTTTTCCATTATCTTACCTAATCAACATTATCTAACCCAATAAGCTTCTAATTTTTAAATCTTAGTAACTTATGTAATAATAAATAAACAATATATACAAAAAACAAGACATCTATTACTTACCTGTGACATCTTTTTTTCTTTGGTGTCGGTTGGCAAGGAAATTTAAGCCTATTTTTTTTATACTAATGGTACTAATACACTATTTTTTACTTACTTAAATACTGCACCAATGAACACAGAATAACAACATGCACAAAGCAAACAATGTCCTATAACTATCATAATTCAACTGTTTTTCAAACTATGGTATAAGAACCTTAAAATAATTCCCTAACCTTCTTTATCTGAATGCTGCGAGAGAAAATTTCAAACTTTCAAATGAAATAGACAATACTCTCTACTAAAAACAATGTAATATGTAGATTAAAAATCTGCCTTTCTATTTGTTATAAATTATTGGTAATTTTTGAAAGAGAAGATATGAAAAGTAGGAGCAACAAGTGGGTCTGATTGTCTAGTTTTTTCATAAAACAAATAAGATTGGTTTTTGTTTTTTTTTAATTTTGCACATAGCTACGCGAGGGCTATCTGCATTAGCCATCCGTAATTTAGCAGTGAAAGACTAGAGGGAAGGCAGCTAGTCATCACCACCCACCCCCAACTCTTGGGCTACTCTTTTACCAACGAATAGTAAAATTGACCATCACATTATAAGACCCCCACAGCTGAAAGGGTGAGCATATTTCGTGGGATGGGGATTTGAACCCATGAAATAAGATTGAAGGCCATTAAAATTATGCTTTGCAATAGTAACATTCATATTGAGTGATTTACATTGAAATTTGTACTTCTCAGTGGGGTGGTAAGTAAATTAGAGATGAGGGAAGACCTAGAGTACAAATGGTACAATTCTCATGCAAGGGGTTATTGAGGGATTTTTTTAAATATTTCCTTATAAAATTAAGAACTTAAAAGTTATATAATAACAACATTTAATTTGTTAACTACATTCTGATGGTAAGTTTATTTCTATACAAATATAATTAAATTTTGAATGTAACTTTCTAAAACATCATGAAATGCTCACTTCGACTCACCTGTAGCAAGAGGATAAGTAGCAAAATTCCCAATTTATATCTTACAACTGTTCCTTTACTGTCAGCAAGCAGTCTATTGTAAACTTTCATCACTAATCACTATAAACTATTCTTTTAAAGTCTGATGGTGTATATAAAATTAAGATGAAGAAATTAACACTTTTAAAGAGGCCAATATGTTGCTAAATCACATACAGTTTAATATTTATCCTTAAGTGTGACACGGTTAAAAAATATATGTTTGAAAATGTTATCAGTCAATCTGTGATTTTGCTTCGCATTTATTGCCCTCATAAGAACCATGTTTTGGTAGCTGTAGAACTCAGTTTTAAAATAACTGATACAGGTAATGTGGTTCACATATAAATATAACTCGGCCAGATAAATTCTGGTCCAGAGTGAAGAGCCTTACTAACAGTAGCACACGACAAACAAGGTGAACACTTAAATGTTCTAAGTAAGTTCTCACTATTCATAGTTAAGCGTGATGAGTCGATCTCCTATTTCTTCTTCTTGGAAATGTTCCTTTTAATTTTTAAAACCAGGCTGACTCAAAAGCTCTAATACTAAGTACTTCACCTAAAAAAAATGTTATAATAATCATAAAACTTAAAAGGTAGTTAAATAGTTATAAAGTTTTGTAATAGAAATAATTCCTTAGCATATAATTAAAAGCATACCGTAATAAACACTAATTTGTACACACTAATTAAAAGCATACCATAATAAACACTAGTTTGTACACGATAATTAAAGGCATACCATAATAAACACTAATTTGTACACACTAATTAAAAGCATACCATGATAAACACTAATTTGTACACACTAATTAAAACCATACCATAATAAACACTAGTTTGTACACAATAATTAAAAGCATACCGTAATAAACACTAATTTGTACACAATAATTAAAAGCATTCCGTAATAAACACTAATTTGTACACAATAATTAAAAGCATACCGTAATAAACAACAATTTGTACACAATAATTAAAAGCATTCCGTAATAAACACTAATTTGTACACAATAATTAAAAGCATACCGTAATAAACACT